ATTCGTTATTCGTGGTAAATCGTTGTGTTCATTTATTCGAGTAAATTATTCGTTTCGATTCTTTGTTTGAATGATCGTTCTGTTTCTTTATTCGAGTAAATTATTTGCTTCAATTCTTTATGCGAGTAAATTATTCGGTTAATTCTTTATTGGAAGGTATTATTCCCTTAATTCTTCTTTATTCGAGTAAATTATTTGCTTCAATTCTTTATGCGAGTAAATTATCCGGTTAATTCTTTATTGGAAGGTATTATTCCCTTAATTCTTCTTTATTCGAGTAAATTATTTGCTTCAATTCTTTATGCGAGTAAATTATCCGGTTAATTCTTTATTGGAAGGTATTATTCCCTTAATTCTTCTTTATTCGAGTAAATTATTTGCTTCAATTCTTTATGCGAGTAAATTATCCGGTTAATTCTTTATTGGAAGGTATTATTCCCTTAATTCTTCTTTATTCGAGTAAATTATTTGCTTCAATTCTTTATGCGAGTAAATTATCCGGTTAATTCTTTATTGGAAGGTATTATTCCCTTAATTCTTCTTTATTCGAGTAAATTATTTGCTTCAATTCTTTATGCGAGTAAATTATCCGGTTAATTCTTTATTGGAAGGTATTATTCCCTTAATTCTTCTTTATTCGAGTAAATTATTTGCTTCAATTCTTTATGCGAGTAAATTATCCGGTTAATTCTTTATTGGAAGGTATTATTCCCTTAATTCTTCTTTATTCGAATAAATTATTTGCTTCAATTCTTTATGCGAGTAAATTATTCGGTTAATTCTTTATTGGAAGGTATTATTCCCTTAATTCTTCTTTATACGAGTAAATTATTTGCTTCAATTCTTTATGCGAATAAATTATCCGGTTAATTCTTTACTGGAACGTATTATTCCCTTAATTCTTCTTTATTCGAGTAAATTATTTGCTTCAATTCTTTATGCGAGTAAATTATCCGGTTAATTCTTTATTGGAAGGTATTATTCCCTTAATTCTTCTTTATACGAGTAAATTATTTGCTTCAATTCTTTATGCGAATAAATTATTCGGTTAACCTAATAATCAATTAGGTTCGACCTAATTGACGAATGGACAGAATGTTTCAGCGGATAGAAAATCATGGACGATTATGAAGAAACTATCTAATTATAAGATATTTATAATAATTTCATTTTTATAATAATGATAATAGCAATAATGTTTCAAAACAGGGTACAAGATTATGCACAATCAGATTGTGCCCAAAAATGGACAATTTCGAAAGTGGAGATACGATTGTTCGAAGCTTGCACATCGTTTTTATAATCGTTAACAATCGGCAACTATAAAAATGAGCCGCGAGGCTCGAATAATATCTCCTCTTTCCAAATTGTTGTTCACAAACCGAAGGAAAATCGAGGAGAATTTACTGTAACCCCGAAGGTACGAGGAAAATGATGGATGATTCGAAAGGAAACGTTATTAACCCTTTGCACTCGAGCGGTGAATCCGAGGCACCGTTAAAATTGTTACACCACGTTGCAAAATAATTTTTATATTTTGCAATTTTATATTACACCACGTTGCAAAATAATCTTTATATTTTGCAATTTTATATTACACCACGTTGCAAAATAATCTTTATATTTTGCAATTTTATATTACACCACGTTGCAAAATAATCTTTATATTTTGCAATTTTATATTACACCACGTTGCAAAATAATCTTTATATTTTGCAATTTTATATTACATTACGTTGCAAAATAATCTTTATATTTTGCAATTTTATATTACACCACGTTGCAAAATAATCTTTATATTTTGCAATTTTATATTACACCACGTTGCAAAATAATCTTTATATTTTGCAATTTTATATTACACCACGTTGCAAAATAATTTTTATATTTTGCAATTCTATATTATCGTTATCAATCTATTACCATTCATTACCATTTCATTATCATCATCAATTTATACTTATATTTATAAAATTGTTAACAGAGTGTAACCTGTTGCACGAGTCGCAAGACTCGCTTCGCATGCATAAAAAATGCACTCTGTAACATAAAATGTAAATACCACAGGTCAGAGAAACGATTTCAGATTTTTTCAGGTCAGAAAAAATGACTTCGAGCGCGAAGGGTTAATTTTCGAACGCGGCGCAGGAATGACGGATTGCTCTGAGTAAGGGGGTGTGTTCCAGTAATTAATCGTGGCAGATTAAATAGTCGTTTGCAACGGTGCGGCGTCGGCGCGGCCGTACGTGGAAAGGCGTACGAGTAAGTCGCAGCTGTTCGAATCCTTCCTGGGGAAGAACAACCGGGGAACTCTCTCTCGGGGCCCCCCCACTCGCGGGGCCTCTTGTAAAACGGTCCTGTCCCCCGTCTCGCGGCCACGGCACGGCGTCTCGCGGCATTTCGCCACTTTCGATTTTACCTGGCCGAGCACCGAGCCGCTCCGTTACCGTTAATTTCATGGATCGGTCACGATCGAACCGCGGCACCAGGAAGTGGGTCGATCCGACGTAGAAAACGGGGACAGGCTGCGTGCGCGCCGGGGTTCCTCTCGATCTCTAGCGTCGCCCAACGCTCCCCCCTGATCCCCCCGTCGCCTCTTCCCCGATTTCTTTCATTTTTCTTTCTCCTCGCGCGACACAATGACTCGCGCGTTCGCCCGGACACGACCGGCCGGTTATATTATAGTTTTATCGTTCGCAGTTGTCAGGGTTATTTTATCGAAAGCTACCCGGGAAAACTCGTTTCGCGATTTTTTAAACGGTTTTCGAAAGTAAAACGCGCCCCGGCAGAAAACTGTTCGCGCGCGCGTTTTACGCGTTCGATCGGCGCCGAGGGAATTGCTGCGGGTTTTCCTTCGTTTTCGGATCCACGGATTATCTTTTTCTGATAACGGAGATCTTATCGGTCGCCGGGCCTTGTCGGAATTCATTTCGACGGAGCGGAAAGAGCGCGAGATTGACCAGAAAAATGATCTCTGCAGGAAACGGCGATGGAATTCGTTATTTTGATCCACGCCGATCCGATACATTGGATCGCGGACGGAGTGCAACGTTCTGGTCGTTCGAAAAATCGTCGGTTAATTGGCGACGTTCGAACGATCTTCGTGCGCGCAAAGATCCACGATCCGCCAATTAAATTTCCACTTCCTTTGTCGCGTTATGCGTTCTCCTGGCAATTTGTTCGTTACATTGTTCGAAATAAATTATTAAATTATGCCTATTAGGTTCGAACAATCGTGCGGAGAAAGTAAGAGGAAACCGGCGTTAATTGAAGACGTTCTGTTGTGTACAAGCGATGAATTGTACCTTGAACGATTATATATTCTTCAAGCCTTTTGTTTGGAAAGATATCGAGGCAGGGTGAACTCGCTTGTTACATGCTTTGCAAAAACGTTGAAACGTTAAATCACGTCGGAGAAACGTAAACTGCTTCTCGAACCAGTTAATCGATTAAGGGTTGAACACCGTCAGTCAAGGTTAATGCACTGCTTCGTCTAATAAATCGGTCGAACAATCTTCGACCCTGTTGTTTAAAAAAACGTGGAAGCAGTGTAAACTCTCTTAATCCAAGCTTCGTCCATGTATTTATTTTTTATTAGGTATAACCGTGCCGATAGAACATAAGCTGCTTTTTAAATCAACCAAGTGATTAAGAAACAGAAGTAATTATGAAACCACCGCCAGTGGTAACATGTCGCTTTATCTAATAAATGTAAATAAAGTTGAACAATCTCCAATTCAAGCTTCTTAAAAACGTTGTAGCTGCTTTTTTGAAGTATTAATCCGTTGTCATTCTTTGACGAGCCTGACACGCGATGCAGATTTCTAGTAATAACTTGTTAAATATGAATGCCATTGCATTTTTTTTTAATCTGAATGAAATCCCGATTTCTTGTCGTCAATGTTTAAACATCTCAGTAAACGCAGACACACAGTGAATTTAAATTGTTTTTTTTTCTTATTATTATTGAAACTATGAAGAAAATGGAACGGCAAGGGGTTAAAACGAACACTAGAACTACCGAGACAGTCCAAACGACTAGTTCCTCATTTTTTCTCTCAGAATTGCTGTTGAAACTATTTTTCGAAAATTTTCCACGAGAAAATTCCATCTAAATCTTTTCATTCGAGCATTTATTGCAACAAAAATCGCACGAACTCTAAAATAATCCTGTCATTCTCACAAGACTCTATACATCAATTCTTGCGTTAAACCACTCAACCAATTAAGGGTTGATGATCGCGCCGCCATTCTTCCGTATGCATTTCCCCCTCTCCAAAAATAAAACCGAAAACCCAGTTTTTCCACAATGACGAATTTCCGTCTCCCCGAAGACGACCAGCCCCTCGCCGTAACAAACCGCTGCCTCGGCAACCCTTAAACGCCACCGCAACGGGGCACCCCGACCGTCGCCACCTCCTCCTCCAAGCTCAAGGCCCGCAGCCAGGGGTTTCCCAAACGCGGAAGCCCTGGCACCTGTCGGAGCTCGCATTGGCCGGCGCGTAACCGTCGGAAAAGCGAATCGGCGAGCCAGCATTCGCGGAAAGCGGTTGCGCGCAGGCCCGCGGTTGGAAAGGAAAAGGGGTTGCAGGATGGAAAAGAGAAACGACGGGGAACGGGACAATGACGTCGGCAGCTCGGGCAGCGTGGAAGGAAGAAGGACAGAGCTGGTGGGCACCGCGCGTTTATCGCGAAGGTGGTGGAGGATCTCGCGGTGGCGCAAAAGGAAGGGAGAAGATCGCGAAAGACGGGGGATGGCGTTTGGTGGGGGGTGGGGGCGGGTAGAAGCGGATGTCTGGCGAGCGGGAGAGAGACAGCCAGCTCTGTAGAGGGGATCGAACGCGGACGCGTGTGCTCCTCTCTGGAGAAACGCGCCGGGAGGGCCGCGGCGAGAGAGGAGAGGAGAGTCTAGGAGAGAGGGAACGCGGCGAGAGAGAGAGAGAAAGAGTGAGGGAGAGAGAGAGAGAGAGGGGACTTCGCTTGGAGTCGAGCAGTCAGTGTCTTTCCGGACGCCGCAGGTTCGAGGCACGCAGCTCTCCCCTCTCCCTCCATTGTCATAAATTCGCTGTGCTCTCTGCGTTCTCTCTATTTCTCTGTCTATTTCTCTGTCTCTCTCTCTCTCTCTCTCTCTCTCTCTCTCTCTATTTCTCTATTTATTTCTCTATTTATTTTTCTATTTATTTCTCTCTCTCTCTCTCTCTCTCTCTCTCGCTTGTTCTCCCTTTCTCCGTCAATCCCCCTTTCATCCCCTAACAGCCCCACGGCCTCTCCCTTTCCGCCCTTCCTCGTGCCGTCTCTCGCGCTCGACGTCTCTCTCGCTTCCTCTCCTCTCTCTCCTCTCGCCGCTGGGCCCCAGGACGACGTCGAGGCGCGTCACACCGTCTCTCCCCCCACCGATCGGAACGCGGCGCGGCGGCGACGGCCAATCGCGGCGGCGCTTCCGGCAACGGTGACGGCCCAATGGGCGAACACCGGCGACGGATAGACGCTGACGATCGCTGATTTTGACAGTCGACACACGACGACGGTACCGTGCTGCGGTCTGCTTCCGTGCGCCTCCGCATAGGCCTCTATCACCTGGCGGGGACCCTGCGTGGCTCGGTAGCCGCGATACCTCGGTGTCAACGGGACATTCTTGTGCGGAGACAGACCTGCTCCTCTTCACAGTGATATAGTGCGCGAAGGAAGAGAAAGAGAGAGGGAGAAAGAAAGAAAGGGGAAAGGGCGGCGTCGAGATCCACGTGGTCCCAGAGTGGTTTCGTTCGGGGCTCTCCTACGAGACAGTGAATACACACACGTACAGTGCGAGACCCAGTTTCTGCGTGGTTCCCGTGTAAAGGAGATAGATTTCCCGCGGAAAAAGGGACTGCCAGGTGCCTGGGATACCAGATACGGTGACGGATGCTGGCACAAATAGACAACTGGGACCGCGAAGCCTCGGTGCGCCGCCTTGAAGACCCCTTAATCATCGTCCACCCCTGCGCCGATCCTCTTTCCGGAACCGTGCTCTTCTTTCTGTGACACGCCGGTTTTCTACGGAGTTGTTTTTCGATACTTGTTGCATCGGTTCGTCGACGCGCGAGGGACCGGTGGTTGCTAAGGTGAACAGAGATAAAGAGAGAGATAGAGAGAGAGGAGGTCCGTGTGATTGGGTGATCGGAACGCTAGAGGACTTAAATGCTCGCGTGAGAGGGTGATCGATGAGCTGCGCCATGGAGTATCAGCAGTTGGCGCCACCGCCGGTACCGGGCGTGCTGCACCAAGCGCACCACCAGCAGCAACAGCATCAGCAAACGGTCCAACCCCCGCAGCCGCACATCGTGGTCGCGCCTGCGCACCAACAGCAACCCCAACAACCACCGCCGCCGCCGTTGCCGCCCACGTCCCACGGGCATCAGGTGCACGCGCCACTTCCGCCTATCCACGACGACAGCACCAGCTCGCGGTGGAGCCAGTACCAACACCTGTGGAGGCAGCATCATGTCTATGTCAATGGTAGGACCGGCTCTCTGTCGGGGCCCCGATTTAAATTCGACGGTGTTCAGAGGGCGACGGGGGGAACGTTTCGATCGTTGCTCTAGTTTATTCGATCGTTATCGTTGTCGACGGTAAACATTCTTCGTAATCGACGCTGAAATTGGGCACAACAGTGAACAATTTGGGAACAGGAGGCACGATTAACTTTGCGGCTCGTTTTTATTGGGTCGTTAAGTATGAAATGCACGATTATATGAAGCATCGAGTTTGATATCCGATGTTTTTGATACTTCGCTTCGATCGTTGTTTGTTTTCTTTTTTTTGCAGTGAGGTGGGGTACGCTATATTATTGTATCGTCGTCCGAGGGTTAAATATTGTAAGTCATGGACAAGTGAAAGATTCGCGTTATTTTCGAATTTAAGTTTTATCGTGGAATTAATGCAGCGTAGAGAAGTCGAAATGTTGACGAGGTGTTCGGCAAGGATGTGGCTAATGAAATTATAATTAATCCACAAAATCGATGGTTTGATAAATTCCGATCTGGAGATTTAATAAATCAAAATTTCAGTCTCAAAATCGGACGTTTCGTACTTAATGACCTAATATAGTTGTTGTCAATCGGTGACTATAATAACGAGCCGCGAGGCTCGAATGATCGTGCCTTCTCTTCTCAAATTGTCCATTTATGTGTAGAAGTTGAGCGTCAATTAGGGAGAATTTACTGTAATAAGATTTCATTAAAATTGCTGATATCGTAAAGATATTTCCAGGAGAAATTTTCAGGGACGCTTCTTTATCGAACTGTATACTATGATATATAAGTCGTACAAAGTATTAATAAATTCAATTTTGTCATTATTGTAAAAGAATATAATGGTAATAATCACTATAATAGTAACAATAGAGAATAATCGTGTTTAACCCTTTGCACTCGAGTGGCGACTCTGAGATGGCACGAAAAATTCGTAAAGATCGCAATGATATCAGGAGAAATTTTCAGGGACGCTTCTTTATCGAAGTGTATACTATGATATATAAATCGTGCGAAGTATAAACAAATCCAGTTTTGTCATTATTGTAAAAGAATATAATAGCAATAATCACTATAATAGTAATAATAGATAATAATCGCGTTTAACCTTCTGCACTCGAGCGGCGACTCTGAAATAGCACGGAAAATTCTTCTATCGCGTCCCGAAATGAGCTTCAAGTTGACAAATTTGTTTGTAATTTTAAACAATTTATTAAACGCGCAATTGTTCTATGAGTCGTCGCAAAATACGATTTCATAAAACGCGATAAGTCGCAGAAAATGCAAATACTATGAATCGGAGAAGTACATAAAAAAAAATTCTGTTTCGCAACGGCTTAACCCTTTGCACGCAGCGAGACTGCCGGTAATCAGGTCATTTTCAGATGCGGTCAATTTTCGATGCGGTCTTGTACCAAGTTCCGTTTCAGCGGAGCCAATTATTTCCAACGTTGCATCGTTTTACGTTTCATTCGGAACGTTAGCGGCTGCTTCGGGAATAGTAAATTCTCCCTAATTGAGAAGCTTAGCCCTAATGCTTAGCTTGGAGCACAAAAATGGACAATTCGGGAAGAGGAGGCACGATTTTATAGTTGTCGACGATCGCGGGAACTATAAAAACGTAGCCGCGAGTCTCGCATAATCGTGGCTCCTCTTCCCGAATTGTCCATTTCCGTGCTCCAAGCTAAGCGTCAATTAGGGAGAATTTACTGTAAATAATTACTACCTCGCGAGGCAATAATTAGTTACTGTTTCGCGAAAAAACAATTGCTGCTTCGCGGAGAAACGGCGTCGGTGACAGCTATTGCATCAATTCGAGTTTGTACGACAGTTCTTCGTTAGCCTTGCGCGAACGATAAGCGTTTAAACGATAAACATTTTATCGCGTCGAATTTCGTTTGATTCCTCCGTCGACGACCAGCTAACTTTCTAGCATCGCAACAATTTGATTCGACGCGTTCACGAATAAAAAAACGAGCAGCGGAAATTTCGAAACGGTGGAAAGTTCGAAAGGATTATTAAGAGCATCGACGCGTCGCTGTCGCCTTGCTGAAAAATGATCGCTCACAAATTAATGGACTTCCATTGCTCACAGTTAACGGAAAACATTTTTACCATGCACAAACTACTCCGCTCGTCGATCCTCCAAGTCCATTGTTTCGGACAGCGTCGTTTTGACTCCTCCGAGCTTCTCGCATCTCGTTGTCCCCCGAATCGCCGACCGCCGTCGCGCCAGCGGGTCGCTTTCGACCCACACGTCAGAGCTGTTCAAGCTTCTAAAGTTCAAGTCCGAAGCTCGAAGACTCCGCCGGAGATTGTTTGGTATCGAAAAGTGGTTGAAATTGGATTAGGCGAAGCCATCGAGCTCTGGTTTAAAGGTCAGCCGTAGTTCCCGAAACGGAACTGCACGTTTCAGACGCTGACGGTTCAGCTTCCGTGCCCGTTTCACGAACGCTGACGCTCGATTTCGGACTCGAACGAATCGCAGAATTCGAAAATAAACGTGTCGATACATCTGCCCCGATTATAGCCGCCTTTTTCGTCTTTCTTGCGTCTCCGTACGCGTTAGAAGTTTTCGACGCTTCCGCGACCGGAATATTTCCGCTGCCGCGAAGCAGCGTGTCCGCGCCTCTGAAATTTCTCCGCGGCCGAAATTATGACACCGCGCGCGGCAGCTTTGCGTCACCGCTCATTAAACGCGTAATATAACAAGGTATGAATATTAAAATCCACAGCGAACGTCTCTCTTTCGTGTCGCCGCGCGTTTCATCTCCCGTGCTCCTTGAAACTCGTCGTAAATCACGTTAACGCCGGGAAATTTTCCATAGAGACGGCAATGATTTTTCGAACGGTCTTTCTGTATCTCGTGGCACCGACTTGTTAAAATAATTACAAGCGCGTGTCTACGTTTCGTTTTATCCGATTCCCAGTATTTTAAGCGAGACGACGAGACCTTCGCGTTACGATGGAAATAATAGAAAGCGATAATTAGACTTATTTGACTCTTTTGAATTTTTATTTCGCGTTAACCGCGGATCTTAGTGCGAAATAAAAATCGTCGAATTGCACGAAACGCGCGTAAAAAGAAGACGTATTTCCTCGTTTAACAACTGTAAACGATTGAAAACGAACGCAGCGATATTCCTAAATTCTTCCAACGCTTTCACAGTTCTTGTATTCGATCTGTTCGTTTCTCTCGCGAGCGCGCAGATGAGATATAGAATGGTGGCAAATATTTCCCTGTCTTGCAATTAACGCGGACGATTTTAATTTCGCGCGAAATCCGCGCGGTCTAACGATAAACCGTCGAAGCTGACAAGTAAGAGCAAGGCGACGAGAACCGGGACTCCGCTTCGACGGAGGACGGCTTTTTCGCATAGCTCCCGTTTCTTCCGATCGTCTCCGATGGCTTTTTTATCCCGCGCGCATAGATTCCGCAGTCCGATTGCAAAAAAGATCGGCGCGGCGATCGGATCGCGCGTCGCCAACAAAGAGAATTCCAGGGATATGTTAACTGCGCGCGCGACCCAGATGGTTAATTAGGTGGACGAAGCGGACGAAGAAAAATTCGATCGATAAGCCTTCTCTTTTTCTTTTTTTCTTTTTTCCCCTCCGCGGAAAAAGTCGACCAGCGGGATAAACCCGCGCGCGGCGGATAAACCGACTCGCGAATCAGAAACGCCCACCTGTTGCTTACATCAGGTTGCCTACATTTCGCCCGCAATTATATCGGCGGCGTGATCTAACGATCGACTTAGATCATACGCGCCGCGAACTTTCTCCGTCTCGTTTCTCCCACCAAGTTCGAAACGTGATCTATACGCGAGCTTGCGCGTCTATTATAGATCCACGAAACGGGAAACTTTCGCCGGCTACTTCTTGCTCGATCATTTTTTCTCGCTACGCCTTGTGTTCGCGATCTGCATTCACTGGCGCGAAACACGTTCTCGCTTCGTCGGCGAGTTATAGTTAAATTGTAATCGCGAGATCGGCGGCGTTTAATTAATTTCGTATTTATTATCAACGGTTTGTTGTTATCGGATCTTATGCAACGTGGAAGTGCACCGAGTGCAAGAGACAGCAGCCAGATGCACGTTTCGTTGCTTCGGTAATAATGTTAATTGAAGTGTATCGACGTTGTTCGATCGTTTCAACATTTTCAGCGTTCTAAACTGCGTTTACTCGATTTTGTCCTAAATAATATAGTATCTACAATATAATATCTACAGTCTAGTTGTTATTAGGCTGCGATTTTTACACATTTATAACATAATTAAGTAGATATGAAACGGAGAACAATGAAAATTCAGAAGAATTTGGGCTGGATCGTCGTCTATAGATTATTACCAGACTGCAGATTCCTCTGGGAAATCAAAATTTCGTTAGTTGCAAGACGCAGAAGCTCCAGAAACATTTATTTCTGTTCTTAATTTTCATAAGTCGAAAGTAATGCAAAACAGTGCTTTTGAAAATTTTCAAATATTCGTAAATCGATTTAAATTGACATCTGTGAGCAGATAATTTTTTTAAAAATGCGTAGAAATATATATTTCCACTCATTTTCCTCGTAAATGCATAAAATTCGCAGTCAGTTTGTCGGAATTATTAAGGGAGATAATTAATTCCACGATTATTATTAATTGTTTAGGCGATTGTTAGCGACCAGACGGCAAATCTGTGCGAGCAAATGGCCAAGCATCCGCAGCCCGAAACAATCGAGCGAGAAACTATGAAAAAACTGGCGCCCATACGTGGCGTCCAGCTGAATTGTTTACGCGATTATTTATTTCTCGGCGAGTTCAGGCCCGCGTTCCCTGTCGCGTATAGTTATTTATTGACTCCGGCGATCCGAGTTAACGGGTTCGAACATGGAGCGTGAATGAATCATGCGTGTCCGCTTGCGAACGTGTGAATTCACCTATGCACCTATCCTACTTGCGACGGAATCGACTCAAGGCTATTAACATTTGCATCCTCCCACGTCTT